GGGTAAAAACACTGCCAAATCAGATTGGTTGGTTTAGCCAAAAGACTGGGAATAAATATTGAGCTGATTTGTTGAAAGTAAACTGAACGCACATCACTGTGACAGTGTCACTTAAACAGTCATTAAGAAACTGGATAAGGTTGAGAAAAAGCAGAACTGGATCAGGTTTTTGTCCAAGAAGTCCCCGCATCGACCGCTCTCGCCTATATGGCTGACAAGATTTAGGAGCGCCATCTTGGGGCGGTCGAGTGCTCTCCTCAGTGTAATGTGTTGACCAGGCGCAGACTCAATTTTAGTCAACTATAACTCGCTGAATATTGAACTAATTTTCATACTTTTTTTTCCTGAAAACGTTAAAACTATAGCTATTACACCAAATGGTGCATTTAAATATTCTTAGTGTGTTTAAAAGAAATATAACATTTAGACATGATTTATATATGTTGCAAATAACAACAACTCATACATTATAAAAAATTTTTTACTACCATATACAAACACAAAGTTGTACACAAACACAAACATATATATATATATATATATATATATATATATACCTTAGGAGGTGATGGCTAACCAACCAGACATCGTGTTGATCGANGTGCAGATGCACTCACACCTGCCTGCTGCCATTCCTGAGCAAGCTCTGCACTGCTGGTATCCCGATCCCGTAGCTGAACCACTTTTCAGAGACGGTCCTGGTACTTGCTGGTCTTTCTTCGGCGCCCTGGAGCCTTTTTGGCAACAATGGAACCTCTCTCCTTGAAGTTCTTGATGATGCCATAGATTGTTGACTGAGGTGCAATCTTTCTAGCTGCGATTCTCTTTCCTGTTTGGCCATTTTTGTGCAGTGCAATGATGACTGCACGTGCTTCTTTAGAGATAACCATGGTTCACAAAAGAGAAACAATTATGCCAAGCACCAGCCTCGTTTTAAAGTGTCCAGTGATGTCATTCTTACTTAATCCTGACAGATTGATCTCCAGCCCTGTCCTCATCACCACCCACACCTGTGTTAATGGAGCAATCACTGAAATGATGTTAGCTGGTCCTTTTAAGGCAGGGCTGCAATGACGTTGAAATGGGTTTCGGATTCATTTTCTAGGCAAATAATGACTTTGTGATAAATTGCTGTTACGCTGATCACTTTTTATAACATTCCGCAGAATATGCAAATTGTCGTTATAAAAACTGAAGCAGTAGACTTTGTAAATATTAACATTTGAATCATTCTCAAAACTTCTGGCCATGACTGTATGTTATGAGATGAGGTGCGTGTCGAGGCGTGATTCATATAGGGGAGGGGTCAAAATTGATCACGTCCGATGCCTCGCTACCTTGATCCGAAAGTGAACGCTTCGGAAAGTGGTCCAGAAAGCACGAGAACTTCGACCATGAGAGCAGTAGCAGGAAAAGATTGGGGAGCAAGTAAACAATCATTGGTGCATTTTTATAAGGCCTTCATGAGATCAATAATAGATTGTGGATGTTATATATACGGAGCAGCAGCTAAAACAAAGTTAATGAAAATAGAAAGAGCGATTAATAAAGAAATGAGAATTTGTATTGGTGCAATTGGAAAAACACCAACTACAGCAATGCAGGTAGAGTTAGGAGAAGTGCCTTTAGAATTAAGAAAAGATCAGCTTATGGTTACATATTGGTGACGTTTACTTGGATGTGGAAATGAAAATATAGTAAAAAGAGTTATAGAGGAGAGTTGGGAATAGAATTGTTTTAAAGGTAAAGGTTTTGGATGGATAATAAAAGATAAATAAGAATATAAAATAGGAAATATATGGTTTAATTCACCTAGACCTATAAGTAATATCCCTATTTGGTTATTTCCAAATGTCGAGATAGATTTTAATATAATGGAATTTAAAAAAGAGTGGGTAGACAGAAGTAGAGGTCAAATGGCCAATCATTATATCAGAACTAAATATTATAGCTATTTAGATATATATACAGATGGATCTAAAGGTGATAAAGGAAAAGTAGGTATAGTAATATACATTTCACTGATGAAGGTAAGCATTGGGAGGAGATTACCTGATCAGATGTCAGTATTTACAGCAGAAATGATGGCAATAATTATAGGATTACAATGGATAGAGGAAGTAAAACCAGATGCTTTGTTGTGTTGATTCTTTGGCAGCCCTTTACAGGATCCAACATATGAAATCAGAAAGAGAATATTTATTATTAGAAATTCATCAAAGTTTGTTTAGAATAAAAAAACTTTATATAAATGTAAAGTTTTGTTCGGTTCCAGCCCATGTATGAATAAATGGGAATGAAAGAGCAGACCTGATAGCTAAAAAATCAGTCAGAACAAATAATATTATAAACATACTGTATGGGAAAGGAGAAACTAAGACAATAATTAAAAAGTAATTAAGGAAAAATGGCAGAATAGATGGAACATAGATAAAAGTGGAAGAAATTATTATAGTGTACAGAAATCTAGTAATGCCAAAGGTGTGGTTAGAAAGAATAGAAGAGAGGAGACTATTTTAACAAGGCTAAAATTTGATCATACTGGGTTAAATAAAACATTATTTTTGTTAAAGAAAAGTGAAACAGATGAATGTATAGAATGTAAAGTAATAGAAAATGTAGAGCATATTGTATTATATTGTAGGAAATACAATGAAAAAAGGACAAGATTAAAACAAAAAACAGACAAATAGGTATGTTTCTTTCCTGTCTCCCGATGCTCCCGAGTTCTGCCTATCGGTGTGACATCATCAGACACTCAGCAGCACTCAGTGATTATTAACCAGCAGCTACTTTGATGTTTAAGTGAAAGTTAGGAGACAGGTTGGTTAAAACAATTAGAGATCATACCACTGAAAAATCTGTCTGTTTGACATATTGAGCTTTTTCAGCTAGAAATGACAACAGATTGTAAGTTTAAACTTTTTATTATTATAATGCAGGAAGCTTCATAAAACATAGTTTGTTCTTTACTAGTTAAAAAATCTTGGCTTCTCAGAGGACCATGACTCCCAGTTACAGGTTAAAATGTTTTCTTACTGTAAAGACAGAATCAGACTGCAGAGCTTCTACAGATCTAGAAATGTTTTTTTCTGGCATCATTATCTTAGTAAAGAGGTTCATTAAACTTGTAGATTTAAAGGGGAAACAGACTTACTGGGATATGCAACATGCAATAAAATATATCTCCAAGTTAACCAGAAAGTTTACAAGAAAACAAATATGCGATATTTAAAATGCAGCATATCCATACTTTTCAGGATGGATGGAGTTGAAACTGTACATTTTAGGGATGCATGATTTATTGAGTTTGGCATTGGAATCGGCTGTTATTCATTATTTTTTGTATACATTAGTGCCTTTGGGCCTTATACATGTAATGCACTAAAAGTTATCTCTCTAACTATTGATAAATATAAATATCTGTGTATTATGGTTCTCAACAATAGTAAAGCTTTCAATAAATATATATTTGAGCAAATTTTGAGAAAATACAAATACCTAATGAAAGCGTTCGTGTTGAGTAACTGTAGGTACATCAGCCACTACCAAAGTGTTAGATAAACACAGCCTATTGACAGCTGGAGTTAGGCACCAGCACCCCTCCCAAAACCCACTTGGTTAGATTAAGCGTGTTAGAAGATTCATGGATAACGTCCAACCCGATTAAATCCAAAAACTTTGGAAAAACTATTATGTTTGAATAGAAATAACACCTTTCATTTTGCTTATTATTGCCCATTTCACAAACACATCACTGTCTGCTTGAGCTTATTTCACTAAAATGGCTGAAAAACAAGCACCTTAAATGATTGTTCTCTTCTAGGACATTTTACACAAAAAAAAACATACAAAAGATGTAATTATACACACCAGTCATTAACACTTTTAAAGGAACTTAAAAGGGGAACGAAAGAAAAACAATTGCAAAAAAATCAGATTTTATTTCAAATTGTAGTTCTGCACTCGACCATTAGGTGGCAACACGTTCACATGAGGCTTCATGAACTGTGGGGGTCGTTGAAGCAACTTGGCGAAACGGTTCAATGCCTCATGAGGCTTCATCTCACCATCACTAGTTGTGACTTTAGTGTTAAGTACTATGGGCTCTATGCACAGCTCCACTACTTCCTGAATTTAATGCCGCTCCTTTGTTTCCTGTCTTTCATTACTGGACGAACTGATTAATCCAGGTGTGTCTGGCCAGTTACTTAGGTCATACACACCTGGATTAATCAGTGCATCCAATCATGAAAGACAGGAAACAAAGGAGCTGCATTAAATTCAGGAAGTAGTGGAGCTGTGCATAGAGCCTATTGCTGTCCGTTGAGCAGTAATTAGTGTTGGTGCCGTCAGCTGCCAATAATCTTTCCAACAGCCAAATCTGTCTTTGTTGCGCCCCTCAAAAGAATGGATTCGGTGCCGGGGTACGTCATTTCTAAAAACCAAAGAGTACAATTGACACAATTGACAAATTGTCTACAATTGACAACTACGACAAAAGGTTAATCGGACTTTTTGGCAGCTCCATTAACAGTAGTGATGGTGAAATGATGGTACCCTCCCGCCGGCGCCGCCGAAGTTCTCGCGAGTTTTTGAATAGGCTCCCCCTGGCGCTCAGGCGGGAAACTGCTGTGCTTCCCTACAAATTCCATACTGACGGTGCAGCAACATAACATCATAACTGGTTCGCCACCAGACCCAAGGCTCTTGTGGCCACACAATACAGACACCCCATGTTCCAAAAACTCATTTCAGAGAGATGCTTATCGAACCCATCCGCATCGATTTGGACACATACACTGCACAGGTTTAAACAGCATTCTCTTCCCCACACCCCGCTCTCTCTCTTGTTTTCTGCGCAATCACAGCACTTCTAATGCGCACATGATTCAACGATTGCCGTACTGCCTGCCCGCTCTCACTCGCATTAAAAAACACCACCTTGCAAAGTCGTAAATGCGGGATAATTCAAGTACACAGTGAGGTGCTACTCCGAGAATTTTTCGACTCTCAGGCATCAGACCAACTATCCGGGAATCTCACCGGAACTCCCGGAACTTCCGGGAGACTTGGATAATGTAGTCCGAGGCGATTCGCTCTATTGTTACGCAGACTTGGATCTACTTTCAGACTGGAAAATTGGAGGTTTGGTTTTATTCAACCATCAAGATCTTGATCCGTCTTTGAGGTGAAATGATTTGTCGGTTTTATAATCGGCTGCTGTGTGTTTCTTAGGTTCTGTTAAAGCGTCCTGTTTCTACAGTGCTGGACATGACGTCATGGCTGGGTGGCTGCTGTGTTCCCTGCATTCTGCCCTTATCTTAGTGTTTGTTTCAGCAGGTGAGTGACTATCCAGGCCAGGGTCGGGAAAACTGACTGATATCGGCTCAGTTTAGACAAATAAACCGGGTAACTGGTCAAACTGGATGGCTAGTGGCTAAACACATTTGAAACGAGCTTTCATACTTGGTTCAGAAACTAAGGTGGACATTTCTAGATGGTCATTTTTCTTCCAAAACATGTCGGTTAAAAATCGCGGTGAAGTTAGTTTTACAGTGGATATTCGATAGACATTTGCTCCGGGTACACTGCGATCAGAGGAAGCCGCCCCAACACTTCCAGTGTGCACCCTTATTATAGACTTGTGAAAACAGCCACATCGTCTACAAACTTTCTGTTTTCGAAATAAAAATGTAGGCCTAGATATTGAAGCCTAGGAGCTATCAAACTAGAATTTTGATATATATCATATTTACGAAAAATATATATATTTAGAGATGCCATATTAAAACTAAAAGGTGTATCTCATGAAACCAATGTAGAACCATGATTTCTTATAGATTTTGTCAGTCCACAAAACCTGAAACCTCCTTAGGACTATTGCCAAAATATATAAACTATTAAGAAACTTGAAATGCACAAATAAAAAGGCATTACTCTTGATGCCAGTGGAGAAGTATGTTCCCATTTTGAATCAATTGGTTAAATGACCTGGTAGCTGCTAAGCAAAAGTGCTCATATTTTCATACCAATATTGGATAAAAATAGAAATAAAGATTTGAAATGCAAAATTAAAAGGTGTAACTTTTGAAGACGATGGAGTAGTATGATCCAACACTGATTTTGAGTCAATTGATCACATTACCTGGAAGCTATTGAGCAAATATATGCTAATAATTCCATTTAAAAATGAAATAAAAATAATTTGAGATTTGAAATGGAAAAAATATAAGGCGACACTTTTGAAGATGATAGGGTGCAATGAACCAACACTGATTTTGAGTCAACTGATCACATGACCTGGAAGCTATTGAGAAATCATGGCTCTACAGTGGTTTCATTAAATACACCTTTTAGTTTTAATATGAAATTTCTAAATACATTTTTTGTCAATATAATAAATATCAAAATTCTAGTGATGGCTTCTCTGCTTCAATGTCTAGAACTACACTTTTATTTTAAAAACTGGAATTTGGTACGAGGTAACCGTTTTCACTCGCTGTGTTTTTACTGTAAAGTCTATAATAAGGGGGCACTTGAAGTGTTGAAGCTGCTTTCTCCAATCGCAGAGTAACCGGAGCAAAGGAGAGGATTTCCCGGAGGGGAGAAGAGAAACAACCGATGGAAGAAGCGGTTCAACCGGAGCAAATGTCTGTCGAATATCCAACATAAAACTAACTACTAACTTCACCGTAAAACTAACTTCACAGCAGCCAAATAAATTACTCTGAGTGGAGATTATTCTAATAGATAATAAACGATGTTAAACTGAAAATTTGTTTTCTTAAGAGGTCGCTTAGAAAAGCATAGTTTGGCTTTCAGTGAAACGAGATAAAAATTTCATTTGAATATAATTTTTGTCCAACCAGGAAGCTTTATGAAGGAAATGAGAAGTGTATCTTTTGAAACGGGGCAATTTATTAAAAAATAGCATGGGCATAGATAATTAATGCAAGCACGCAAGCAAATATTTTATAGCACCTATTTATAAAGCGGCATAAATAAATTGTACAATCAGATTGTTGTTTTCTTCATCATTGAATATCTATCTGAACCAAACTGAATTGAATTGGCCCCTTGTGAACTTGACTATATATAAGGCACAATTTATCTTCATTAAATATTTGTCAGCAAACATGAACTTGAAAACTGAAAACTTGAAATGTGCAGCTGTAGAAGGAAAAACAAAAAAACACCTGTACATACTAGGGATGGAGCAGTTTATGAAAACCGTCCAAACCGTTCGGTTCGACTGTCTCGGTTCGGTTCGCGTGTGTTTCGTTCAGTTCATGCGCTGCTCCTTTTTCTCATAGGCGAAGCGATTACACTCCAGAGCAGAAGGTGGCGGTACTGCGACCAAAGCCAACCACCAGTAGTAAACAAGAAGAAGAAGAAGCGTAGCAGCGTAGCCGTGTGCAGCAGAAAGGATTCAG